CCCCAAAACCCCAAAACCCCAAAACCCCTTTAAGATTTTTCAGAGAAATTACTAATAGACAAATTGGCTTAGAAATATGGCTTATGAGGTAATCTGGTGGGTTAGCGAAGTTAATAATGTGCTTATCTATGAGCCTTTGGGACTATCCTTTCTCTACTGAAGGGGTCCACTGACCGAAGCTCCTTCTCAAGGAGATCAGAGACGAGGTTGGATCGATTAGGAATCGCAAATACTATCTGTGCGTTATGTGGAGAAAGTTGTGGCTCGACTGGTTTTAAAAGAGTTTTGTCCATATGAAGTGAGTCAGAATTGTTGTTATTCAAATCTGAGACTGGAGCTATACCAACGCTGATTTTTCTAGAGCTTTGTTTTTGAGCAGTATTAAGGTGAAAATTATCTGTATGCTCAGCTTTATTAGCATTTTCAGTGATTACAGGGGTCTTATACGTTTTTCTACCAACAGAGATCGAATTTATACCTCGAACACTTTCTTCAAAGATATTCTCCCTCCCTTTGTAGTTAATCTTGCTGTTTCTTTTCTCTGGGATAATGAATGCAGTCTGACTTTGTTCAACTACTCATTTGATATCCTGAGAAACTCCACTATTTCTGGATTTTAAGGGAGTTTGGGTTGTCGGAATCAGGATATCTTTGCTAATGCTGTTTAACCTTTCTCCAATGATCTGTACCTTAGGCGTTCGGAAAAGATCTGGTTTATCTTCTATCTTCATCTCCTTTCTTTCCTCACCTGAGTACATCTGGGCATGGCTGTGTTGAAATGCAGTGGCAGATGCAAGAGGGTTATTTGATATCTGTGAATGCTCTTTCTGAGCATGTACTCTCTTATTATTTACACTCAGCGCTAAAATATGGAGACTCTGGTCGACTAGAGTCACCTTGTTTCTTCTGAAGAGTCAGAAGATTGTTCATATTTCTATTCTGCCCCTTTATCTTTATCAAATTAGAGATTTTCAGATTTGAGGTCCCATTTCTTCTCTTACAAGACCTCCTATTTCTTGGCTCTTTAGGTTTTGGGTATATCTTCAGATTGAGCTTTAGCTTATTTGAGCCGACTTCCATTGAATCAGAGGTATGCACTTCCTTCATTCTTACACTTTTATCTGAGATGTGGCTAAGATTTATTTTAGTTTGGCTATTATCATTTAGGGAACTTTCAGTGTTGAAGTTCTCCCTAGAAGTCCTCTTATTCTCCTTATAATTAAGAGATTGCTTAGTCTCTTCACGAGTTTGTCCATATGTGTTAAAGAAACGTTCTGAAGGAGGCTCCTGTATGTTCTTGTAATCAACGATTAAGTCTTTGTTTACCTTATTACAGAGAGGCTCTTTTTCTTGAAAAGTTTCTTTCTTAAGCTTCGCTACAAGATTTCACTCATTTATATTAGCTCTGAAAACAGATGGCGCATTCATAATTTTGTAAGCTTGGATTTTAACTGTTTTAGGATTCATTTTGTTCGAAGGACCTTTAGTCTAGAAAATAATGCTCAATTTATACCTGTTCTTGTGATTTATAGTATTCATATGTAGTTTGATCGGTCATGATCAAATATACATGAAATCACAACAACGGGAAGATAAAACAAAGTACAGGAATTAATAGTAGGATATACACTCCTGAGTATATGCTAAACGCTAGATTATTCCGAGCATTTTCCCTAGAATAACCATTCTCAGAAATAATTACCAAACTATTCAGGAGGATGACTAGGAGATATACCATATTAAGAGTTATTAGGAACCCTCAGAAGTATATATAGTTCCCTTGTCCGATACAGCAGCTTAGCCATTTGCAATGATGATCATAGGTTCGGACTCAGTACCCTCACTTATAGCAGTGGGCTGCTCTGGGAGGCCGGATTATCCTTCAAACTCTACATCCCTTGAGCTGTGCTGCTTTTCCATACTGATAGAATCTATATGTTATATCTTTCTGAAATGGATCTTTAGCAATGATAGAGTCTCTGGCTTCCTTCGAATTCTTTGGAAGCGTTAGGATGGTTCTTCAAATTTTCATTCTTTTGGCCCAAGGTATGGTAAGATACAAAAAAACACAACTAATCATGTGGGTGATGAATATGATTACTTTTAATAGAGTAATAATGTGAAGAAAATTTGATGGAATTTCTCCTCTTCTCAAGAAATAGTGCATCATATTCAAGAAATGGAGGATTATAATGGGGAGTACAGCAATAAGCAAAGTAAATAAAAGACCATATTGCTTCTTTTCAGGTGCATAATTCTTATCTCACATTCTTTTGTTTTAAAATTATATTCAATTTTAGAGAACATTGAAGGGGTTTTGGGGTTTTGGGGTTTTGGGG